CCCTTGTCTTTGTTTTCTTTTCAAAGGAAATCTGAGTGGTGAAGTTTCAGAGCTAGAGTTACCTTCTGCTTGAGGGACTTCCTTTGGGGTTTCAGATGGGACTGCTTGAGGGACTTCCTTTGGGGTTTCAGAAGGGGCTATAACATCCTCGCCTTCTATTGGGGTTTCTGAAGGTTTTGGGAGATTCAAATCAACAATCCCAGCCTCTAAACCCTCCTCACAAGTTTGAGGGAGATCCACATCAACATTCTCACCCTTAGAACCCTCGTCACAAGCTTGAAGCAGATCCACATCAGCATTCCCACCCTTAGAACCCTCGTCACAAGCTTGAGGGATATCCACATCAGCATTGTCAGCCTTAGAACCCTGCTCAGAAGCTTGGGGGAGATCCACATCATCATTCGCAGCCTTGTCACCTTCCTCAACAGCTTCACGGAGATCCACATCAACATTCCCAGTTTGAGGGACATCCATAAAAACATCCGCTCCTCCAGCATGGTCTTTAGAAGTTGCAGTGTCCCCCCACATTTCATCATTCCTAGGTTGCACTCTATACGAATAGTTCACAGAGAAATGACCAGACTGTTTCAGAATATCTTTCACACAACCAATTAACCTCGTCTCAGATGCTTGGATCGCTTGACCCATGTGATCAATGATCCTGGCCTCGGATGCTTTGATCTCCTTCTTAATGAACTTCTCTAATGCATCCACTCTTGAAACTGTCGATCCTCGCATTCTTGGAGGTTCACCCTCAACCCGAGTCTCTTCTTCTTGATTTTCTTCTTGTTCTTCTTCTACTTCTTCATCATCATCTTCTTCAACTATCTTAGCTTTTCCCTTTTTCAAAGAACCTCTGCATCTGGCATCAAGCTCACGGATGCTATCCCAACAGATGCTTTGCGGATTCAACTGCAAATGTTGCATCCATACACTGATCTTTGGATCACTACTTCCCTTTTAATCCTCCAGATCATACAGAAGTGCTTCTTCATCCTTTTCCACCAGTAGAATACTTTTAATACCCTGAAATAAAAAAAATTGTTACTTTTGACCCGTGTGATCCATGTGACCCGTGACCCGTGACCCGTACCTGTGATTCAATTCCAATCTTTTTCATTACAGCAGGGAAGGTCCATCTAAGCCCGGGTTTGATTACCCTCTTGCACATTCTAGGACAGCTTGGGTCTGCACCTGAAACATGACTTCCTTTGGGGTTTCAGATGGGACTGCTTGAGGGACTTCCTTTGGGGTTTCAGATGGGACTGCTTGAGGGACTTCCTTTGGGGTTTCAGATGGGACTGCTTGAGGGACTTCCTTTGGGGTTTCAGATGGGACTGCTTGAGGGACTTCCTTTGGGGTTTCAGAAGGGGCTATGTCATCCTCGCCTTCTATTGGGGTTTCAGAAGGTTTTGGGAGATTCAGAAGGTTTTGGAAGTGTATCGACCCCACGGAAATCGTTCATAGAAACGTAAATCATCAACCATGTCGAACAAATCATGGCTGATTTGTTCGGATGACAGGGCATGATCCAAGATTCCGGCCATCAAGCATACAATAGCCAATCTCTTACGATCTGCTGCCCTCTGGGGTGACATATATCTCAATTTCTCCACCACATCATTCAAACAAACCTTCTTACGTCCGAAAGTCTTTTTCCTGAACTCACTCTTTTTGAAGCTCTCCCATTCTTCTGGATATTTTCCACACTTCAAGCCACATATAAGTGCATGCTTAATGATTGAGTACCTCACGGGCACACCATTGAGCACGAACCACAATTCCTTCTCGTCTTTCCCTTTAACAGAGCGGTTAATGAGAACTCCCGCAGGCGCCATCTTTAACTGGGGATCCCATTAATGATTGAGTACCTCACGGGCACACCATTGAGCACGAACCACAATTCCTTCTCGTCTTTCCCTTTAACAGAGCGGTTAATGAGAACTCCCGCAGGCGCCATCTTTAACTGGGGATCCCATTGCGCGTGGAATAGATGTTGGAACTGTGATTCTTTCTCGAAGTACGTCCATTCATCCTGTGTCAGTACTTCTTTAAGTGTCTTCAGTGTCTCATACGGATAACACTTCGTATTGATCTTCGAAGAAAACTGAATGTCTTCGAATTTGTAGACAAATGGAAGCTGCAAAATAAAATAATTGTTCGTCATTGTGATCTTTGTGACCTGGGACCTGGGATTCGTGGCTCATGTGACCTATGTGACCTGTGACCCATGTGACCCGTGATCCATGTGACCCGTGACCCGTGACCCGTGTGACTCGTGTGCGGTGTTGTGTTATATTATACTATTACCATATAAATCTCTGTGACCCATGTGACCTGTGACCCACATGACCTTGCGACTTAGGAAATCATTAAATTTGCCAAGGTATTCCGAAATCTCATATCCACACTCTAACTTTCTATTTCGAATTCCTAAAACCCAAATTATATATTTCAAAACACAAAACCCTAACTTTATTTTCAGAAATCCCAAAACTTTAATTTCAATTTCGAAATCCCTAAACCCTAAATTCCTATTTTGAAATCCCAAATCATCCAACAAGTTTAATGATTTTACTCTAGGATCAGGTCATAGAAGAAAAAAACGGAGAAGAAGATGTAGACAAACCTACCGTTTCTAATGGGAGATCTTTCTCCGACGATGAAGGCGATGAACCGGCCTGAGACGCAGATGAAGACGAAGCAGAAGGCACATGTGTTCTTGGATCCATGGGTGTTTGATTTTTCACACAAATCACTAGAGAGATACCGAAATTGCAAGAAAAATGGGTTCAATTTTCTGAAAATCTCGAAACAGAAATCGCGCAAGAGAGAGAGAGAGTTTTCGAAATGCTGCAAGAGAGAGAGAGAACTGCACGGAGAGAGAGAGGGGACTGCACGGAGAGGGAGTTTACCGAGGAAGAGAGAGAGCGTTTTTTTAATTTGAATAAGTTGGGTATTTTTTAATCAAAAAGTAATGGTCCTTTTGGTCTTTCGTTTTAAATTCAGGGATATATATGTCTTTACTCCATTTCAGATTTTCTTTTTTTTAGATTTATTTTTTGAAGGGTACTCCATGAAGTAAGGATAACATTTTAAGGGCATTTTTGCTATATCCCCCCTTTATACATACATGTATATATATATGTATGCATGTATGTATGTATAAATGTATATATATGCATATGAATATGTATATATATATATATATTTATACATATATACATACATATTCACATATATATATATACATATTCAATATATATATATATATGGATATATATGTATATATATGAATATGTATATATATATGTGAAGATGTATGTATATATGTATATATATTATTTGTGTATATATGTATATGTAATTTTTTATTTTATTTTTAAAAAATAAATTTTAAAATTCTGGAATTTTTTAAAAGTTTTTTAAAAAATTGTGTATATATGTACAAATGTAAAAGTGTGTATATATGTAAATGTATAAGTGTGTATATATATATATATGTATATAATTATGTATGTAGATATATATTTGTATATATGTATATGTATATAATTGTGTATAGATATAAAAGTGTATATATATGTATATGTAATTTTCTATTTTATTTTTAAAAAATAAAATTTGAAATTCTGTATTTTTATTTTATTTTATTAGTTTTTAAAAAAATTCTAGAAATTTTTTATTTACGTCAGCATTAAAATTGACAGAACATAACGTCGTTTACGGATATGGAGGAAATTGCAACACATTTTAAGATTTTGTGTGGGAATTTGGAAATAATTGAAATCCGTTGTAGTTTTTGGTCAAATTAAAATTTGGTATAGGAAATTGGAACTTTTTCGAAAATTTGTGGGGGAATATGGGATTATCCCTAAATTATTTATTTCATATTTTATCAGAATATTAGGATGTTATTTTGTTTTGTTTTCTTTTTCTTGATCTATCAATCTTTTGTTTCCCCGTAAATTATTTTTTTTAGTTTCTAAAACCAATAAATAATCAAATAAATGTTTATAAATTTGCAATTTCTAAAATTTGTTGTGTAATTAATTTTTTTTTAATTTCAATTCTAAATCAGATAAGGGTTTCTGCTATGTTGTGTAAAATTCTCACACAAAAAAAAATGTTTGTTCTCGCCTATCAATATAAAAATACGAAGAATTTTATTTTTTGGGTAAAATTTGAGAGAAAGTGACAGCAGAGTCATGTTTTAACACGAAGAACGTCGAGAGCTGAAGGAAACAGGGAAAGACTCTACTCAGAAGCGAAGGTTTGCTTGGACGCTGAATTGCTAAAAGTTAACTAAGCTCAGGGGCAATTTGGTAAAAGCAGAGGTTCGTTAGTAGCGGATATAACAGATTCCAGCTGGGTCGTCTTCTTCAACCTTTTCATTCTTCTCAGATTGCGATCAAGAACTCTCTCTTGTTCGTGTTCATTCTCGCGTTGTAAAGTCTCGTGAATAAAAGATCTTCCTTTTCCGAGATGTAGGACGAACACAACGTTCGCATCCGAACTCGTAAAAGACCTGTGCAGAATTCTTTCTCTGTTTTTCGTACTCTGTTTCATTTTCGGAGAAATCTTTCCGGCGATCGCAAATCCAGGTTCGAAAGCAATGTGTGTGTGAGTGAGAGATCAATTCGATAGAGGCTACGACAGTACAAGTGGTATCAGAGACTGGTTCTGCGGAATCAGGGATTCAAGGTTCAGATCAGAGAAATTGCGGTTAGTAACTCTCTCTCGTTTCTCGGCCAAGGAAAGGGAAGGTTTAGTGCTCGCAGCTTGCTCTCGAGATCACCGGAACAGATCACTCTAGGAATAGATCAGCTCACAGATAGAGAAGATTCAGATTGAGGTAACAGAGCCATGACAAATCAGATTCAGAAACTGGATGTTGAAAAATTTGATAGAAAAAATGATTTTGTATTGTGGAAAGAAAAAATACAGATCAGCCTTGAAATCATGGGACTCCTCGATACATTAGAGGATGATCCGGAAACCTGGAAAAAGGATGAGGAAATCGAAAAAGAATCAAAAGAGACTCAAGGGAGGATGATGTCTCCCGAAATCGAGGAAAAACCGGGAATTACATCTGTTCTAACAGCAGATTCAGGCTCAAGATGTGATGCTAAGACAATCAAGTCTCAAGGCCAGAAAGATAGAATGGCAAGGAGCAAGAGAACAAAGAACCTAATAGTTTTTTATCTCTCGGATCAGATATTGAGGAAGGTAATTCAAGAAAAAACAGCTTTCGATATATGGAACCTGCTGGAAAAGCTATATCTGGAACAATCTCTTCCAAACCGAATGTATTTGATGCAAAGAATATCGGGATTCAAAATGGAAGAAAATAAGTCAATAGAAGAAAACCTGGACGTGTTCCAGAAGCTTTTGTCAGACTTGCAAAACCTGCAAGTTAAGGTTGAAGAAGAATATCAAGCCGTGTACTTACTAAACTCTCTTCCCGCACCTTATGAACAATTAAGGGAAGTGTTGAAGTATTTTAGGACCACGATAATCGCAGAAGAAGTAAAGACTGCAGCACGGTCCAAAGAGTTAGAACTCCAGGCACTTGGTAAGACAAACAAACAGAATGGAGAAGGTTTGGTAGTACGTGGAAGATCTGAGCAGAGAACAAACTCTGGTTCAAAGAAGTCAAGATCAAGATCTAAGTCCAAGGGAAAGGCTGAGTGCTGGTACTGGGGAAAGAAGGGGCATTTCAAGAAAGAATGTGGAACCAGAAAGAAGGATTATGAACAATCAAGCTCTGGAAACGATGAAGTCGCAGTGGTTGACAGTAATCAGAAGGAACAAGGAACAGATTTCTCAGAAGTTTTATTTGTTACAGACAGAACAACTGAAGAAGAATGGATACTTGACCCGGGCTGCACTTTTCATATGAGCCCAAGAAAGGACTGGTTTGTAGAAATGGAAGAAGGAGATACAGGAAAGGTTAGAATGGGGAATGATGCAGTCTGCAACATAGAAGGAACATGGAAGTTGAAGCTACGAGTTCATGATGGATCAACCATCTTATTAACACAAGTGAGGTATATTCCAGACCTAAAACGAAACTTGATTTCTCTAGGAGCTCTGGAATCACAAGGCTGTTGGTATAAGTCTCAGGAGGGATGTTTAAAAGTGATCAAAGGTTGTAGAACAATTATGAAGGGAAAATTGACGGATGGTTTATATGTGCTAGAAGGAAGAACAGAAATGGCTGAGGCAAACAATACAGTTTCTCACACAGACAATACAAGTCTGTGGCACAGTTGACTCGGCCACATGAGTCAAAAGGGAATGGAGCTATTAGTAAAGAAAGGGCTAATAGCAAGATAAAAAATCTCAGCATTACAGTTTTGTGAAGATTGCATATATGGGAAGGGTCACAGATTAGTCTTCAAATCAGGCAAACATACATCAAAGAAGATCCTGGATTACGTTCACAGCGATTTATGGGGATCACCAAATGCCCCATTATCACTGTCAAAGAGCCAATACTTCATAACATTCATTGATGACTACTCAAGAAAGGTATGGATTTATTTCCTGAAAACAAAGAACACTACAAAAAAATGCTAAATTCCAACGGATTATTCCAACGGAATTCCAACGACAAACCGTTGGAATAATTCCAACGACAAACCGTTGGAATAATTCCAACGCTTTTCTAACGGACTTCCAACGGATGTCTAACGGATCTGTCTGTTAGAAATCCGTTGGAGCATCTCAACGGATTTCTGAGTTAGAAATTTTCCACGCATATTCCAACGGCATTCAGTTGGAAATAGCGTTCGACATTTTCCAACGGCATGCCGTTGGAAAATGTCGAACGTTA